TATATACACATACATACATACATATATATATATATATATATATATATATACTGTATACACATATATATACGTATACATATACATACACACACACACACGCACACACACACATATCTATCTATATATATATATAGATATATATATAGATGTGTGTGTGTGTGTGTGTGTGTGTGTGTGTGTGTGTGTGTGTGTGTGTGTGTGAAAATTCACTATTTTAACTTATTATGATTTGTTTTTAGTACATTAAATTTTGTTGGGAAAATACACAACACAGCAACCAGATTCTAGCACATTGCTTTACGGTATTTTTACGACAATTCTCATCAGGCGCCGGAATTGGAAGTTTTTACAGAGTTTATTCATCTGCTGTGTTCGCACTTAATTTAAAACATTTACAGAGCGTTTTTTCAACGCTTGTCAGATTGTCAGAGTTTTATGCTGTTTAACAAGCCGTTATTTTGATGTAATGTCCGGGGTGTAACTTACAGTGATCATGCGCCGCTAGATCACAGTTATGTACGTTTTGTTTAGATCACTAAGAGTGATTGGCAGTCGATTTTATAGGCACATATCTGTAAACATGATAAGGCGCACTCAGATTAAGAAAGTGCTTTGTGTTGCTGAGAAAAACGATGCAGCCAAGGGCATAGCAGAGATCATGTCAAATGGGAGGTCGAGAAGAGTGAGTGCTGACTGTTATATACACTTACTTTGATCTGTAATGTCAGATCTTATAGTTATCAAACGAGTTGTTATTTAATGATCATCAGTGGTAATAAATCTTGTTTTCTTGACAGAGAGAAGGCTACTCTGTTTACAACAAAATATATGAGTACGAATACAACCTGTTTGGTCAAGTAAGTACTTTTTTTTTATTATTAATTACTGAGAAATATGTAGATAGAAGTAGTACATATAGTCTCTATTTGCTGATCGTGTTTTTTTCCCCCACAGAATGTAGCTGTATGCATGACATCTGTATCAGGACATCTCTTGAGTCTTGAATTCAAAGCTACTTTTCAGAAATGGTAAACGGTTATATTTCTTTATATCTTTAAATATATAAACTTTATCATGTGGTCTGTTTCACAGGAATGGTTGTAATCCAGTCCTGTTGTTTGATGCTGAGGTGGAGAAGTACTGCCCTGAGAACTTTATACCGATCAAAGTATTCATTTTCATTCATTCAGCTAGATGTATTTTTAGAATATGAGCTTGTGTTTTATATTTTAATGTATGTATTTACATAATCCAGAGGACTTTGGAGAGAGAGGTGAGACAGTGTCAAGCTCTGGTCATTTGGACTGATTGTGACAGAGAAGGAGAAAATATCGGCTTTGAGATCATTGATGTTTGCAAAGCAGGTTAGTTTAGTGCATCATGGTTCTAGCTATTCACTGTACTGATGCTGTATATTCCTAACAGCCTTTTAACATGGGATATCTTTTAATTAAGTGAAGCCAAACGTTCAGGTCTTCCGTGCACGGTTCTCTGAGATCACCCCAAACTCCATAAGGAGAGCCTGTGAGACTCTTACTGAGCCGGATATCAACATCAGTGATGCGGTGGATGTGAGACAGGAGCTGGATCTCCGCATCGGTAGGCATTTCAAAATAAAAGAGGACTTAAACACAAACTGCTGCCTTTTAGACAATGTTTAGCGAATGTACTTTGTGTTCCTTCAGGCGCATCATTTACCAGGTTCCAGACATTACGCTTGCAGAAGATATTCCCAGAATCTCTCTCTGATCAGCTCATCAGTTATGGCAGTTGTCAGTTCCCGACCCTTGGCTTTGTGGTAGAACGGTTTAAAGCCATTCAAGCCTTCGTCCCTGAAACTTTCTTTAAAATCAAAGGTACTCCAAATGCAACAAGTGCTTTGTAGTGTTGTCACATACACTTTATTGTGTGTATGTGAAATTTCTCTTTGATAGTTGTCCATGAGCCTAATGAAGAGGAATCGGTTGAATTCAGCTGGAAAAGACATCGTCTTTTCAATCACACAGCATGCCTTGTGTTGTATCAGATGTGCATGGAGGTGTGTTCTTCAGCTTACCTTGTTAAGAACTTTTAAAAAAAAAAATGTAAGCTTTGTAGTTCATATTTATGTCATCGTAAGCTTTCTGTTTGGTTTTAATCTTTTCTTTAGGATCCCATGGCAAAAGTTATATCTGTAACAAGTAAACCAAAAAGCAAATGGCGACCTTTACCCCTTGACACTGTGGTAAGTAATTTAAAACTTGACAGATTTTCTACATTAAAAAGAAATTGGAAATATAGAGAAAAGAATGTGGACACTCAGACATCACACCCATACACTACCATTTGAGAAATTTGAGTTTGGTAACATCTTTTGATTGTTTTTGAAAGAAAACTCTTATGCTTACCAAGGCTGCATTTATTTGGCCAAAAATACAGTAAAAACTGTAATATTGTGAAATATTACTATTTAAATAACTGTTTTCTATTTTAATCTATTTTAAAATGTAATTTATACCTAATTTATTCTTACTGACCCCAAACTTTTGAACAGTAGTGTACTTTTGGTCATATAGTATATGTTATACAACTACACGCAAGATGATGAATATGGACAAATTTGACAGTTTTGTGTACACAATGGTCATTAGCTACTAAAATTAGTAGCTTGCAATTTTATGAGTGACTTATGCCCATGAATACCCAAAAAATGAGTAGTACTGCTGAATGAGTTAAGTGTGATCAAAAACAATGATGGAGAAAAAATTTAATATATTTGTTAATACGTCTCAATTATTTTGTTCAGGAACTTGAAAAACTGGCTTCAAGAAAACTGAGGATAAGTGCCAAAGAAACCATGAAAATCGCAGAAAAGCTGTACACTCAAGGGTATGTTAATGGTTATTTCATCCACATGTCTGTGGTCTACAGTGTGTCTGTTGTGTCCCTTCACAAATCAGCCTGTCTGTTTCCTTCCAGGTTTATCAGTTATCCTCGTACTGAGACCAACATGTTTCCACAGAACCTGAACCTAACCATGCTGGTTGAGCAACAGACACAAGACAATGAATGGGGAAATTTTGCTCAGCGCATTTTGGAAAGCGGTGGGCCCACACCTCGAAATGGAAACAAATCAGATCAGGCCCATCCCCCCATTCACCCCACCAAATACACCAACAGTTTACAGGTGAGCAAGCTCTCTGTTAGGACCATCATAACTGGTACCAACTTACACGACAGTGTTTATTTATTTATTTTTTAAGGGAAATGAAAAGCGGCTGTATGAGTTCATTGTACGTCACTTCCTGGCCTGTTGCTCCAAAGATGCTCAGGGTCAAGAGGTGACAGTCGAGATTGAAATAGCTGAAGAGAGATTCTCTGCTAGTGGATTGACGATCATTGCTCGCAATTATCTGGAAGTGTACCCTTATGACAAGTGGTACAATAAGGTGAATACTGCTCAAAACATAACATAACATTGTATAGCTAAACATATTGAGTTCAGTTTTCAGTTAAAGGGGTCATATGATGTTGCTAAAAAGAACATTATTTTGTGTATTTGGTGTAGTAATTTTTTAGTTAATTACTACATATAAGTAGTATATAGAGTCTGTGTTTGATCATAGTGTTTATTTGTTCACAGAATGTAACTGTAAGCATGACATCTGTGTCAGGACATCTCTTGAGTCTCGAATTCAAAGCTCCCTTTCAGAAATGGTAAAAAGTTATATTTCTTCATATCTCTTTGATAATACAGTTTAAATATTCAGTTAAACTTTGTCATGTGGTCTGTTTCACAGGCATAGTTGTAATCCAGTCCTGTTGTTTGATGCTGAGGTGGAGAAGTACTGCCCTGAGAACTTTATACCGATCAAAGTATTCATTTTCATTCATTCAGCTAGATGTATTTTTAGAATATGAGCTTGTGTTTTATATTTTAATGTATGTATTTACATAATCCAGAGGACTTTGGAGAGAGAGGTGAGACAATGTCAAGCTCTGGTCATTTGGACTGATTGTGACAGAGAAGGAGAAAATATCGGCTTTGAGATCATTGATGTTTGCAAAGCAGGTTAGTTTAGTGCATCATGGTTCTAGCTATTCACTGTACTGATGCTGTATATTCCTAACAGCCTTTTAACATGGGATATCTTTTAATTAAGTGAAGCCAAACGTTCAGGTCTTCCGTGCACGGTTCTCTGAGATCACCCCAAACTCCATAAGGAGAGCCTGTGAGACTCTTACTGAGCCGGATATCAACATCAGTGATGCGGTGGATGTGAGACAGGAGCTGGATCTCCGCATCGGTAGGCATTTCAAAATAAAAGAGGACTTAAACACAAACTGCTGCCTTTTAGACAATGTTTAGCGAATGTACTTTGTGTTCCTTCAGGCGCATCATTTACCAGGTTCCAGACATTACGCTTGCAGAAGATATTCCCAGAATCTCTCTCTGATCAGCTCATCAGTTATGGCAGTTGTCAGTTCCCGACCCTTGGCTTTGTGGTAGAACGGTTTAAAGCCATTCAAGCCTTCGTCCCTGAAACTTTCTTTAAAATCAAAGGTACTCCAAATGCAACAAGTGCTTTGTAGTGTTGTCACATACACTTTATTGTGTGTATGTGAAATTTCTCTTTGATAGTTGTCCATGAGCCTAATGAAGAGGAATCGGTTGAATTCAGCTGGAAAAGACATCGTCTTTTCAATCACACAGCATGCCTTGTGTTGTATCAGATGTGCATGGAGGTGTGTTCTTCAGCTTACCTTGTTAAGAACTTTTAAAAAAAAAAATGTAAGCTTTGTAGTTCATATTTATGTCATCGTAAGCTTTCTGTTTGGTTTTAATCTTTTCTTTAGGATCCCATGGCAAAAGTTATATCTGTAACAAGTAAACCAAAAAGCAAATGGCGACCTTTACCCCTTGACACTGTGGTAAGTAATTTAAAACTTGACAGATTTTCTACATTAAAAAGAAATTGGAAATATAGAGAAAAGAATGTGGACACTCAGACATCACACCCATACACTACCATTTGAGAAATTTGAGTTTGGTAACATCTTTTGATTGTTTTTGAAAGAAAACTCTTATGCTTACCAAGGCTGCATTTATTTGGCCAAAAATACAGTAAAAACTGTAATATTGTGAAATATTACTATTTAAATAACTGTTTTCTATTTTAATCTATTTTAAAATGTAATTTATACCTAATTTATTCTTACTGACCCCAAACTTTTGAACAGTAGTGTACTTTTGGTCATATAGTATATGTTATACAACTACACGCAAGATGATGAATATGGACAAATTTGACAGTTTTGTGTACACAATGGTCATTAGCTACTAAAATTAGTAGCTTGCAATTTTATGAGTGACTTATGCCCATGAATACCCAAAAAATGAGTAGTACTGCTGAATGAGTTAAGTGTGATCAAAAACAATGATGGAGAAAAAATTTAATATATTTGTTAATACGTCTCAATTATTTTGTTCAGGAACTTGAAAAACTGGCTTCAAGAAAACTGAGGATAAGTGCCAAAGAAACCATGAAAATCGCAGAAAAGCTGTACACTCAAGGGTATGTTAATGGTTATTTCATCCACATGTCTGTGGTCTACAGTGTGTCTGTTGTGTCCCTTCACAAATCAGCCTGTCTGTTTCCTTCCAGGTTTATCAGTTATCCTCGTACTGAGACCAACATGTTTCCACAGAACCTGAACCTAACCATGCTGGTTGAGCAACAGACACAAGACAATGAATGGGGAAATTTTGCTCAGCGCATTTTGGAAAGCGGTGGGCCCACACCTCGAAATGGAAACAAATCAGATCAGGCCCATCCCCCCATTCACCCCACCAAATACACCAACAGTTTACAGGTGAGCAAGCTCTCTGTTAGGACCATCATAACTGGTACCAACTTACACGACAGTGTTTATTTATTTATTTTTTAAGGGAAATGAAAAGCGGCTGTATGAGTTCATTGTACGTCACTTCCTGGCCTGTTGCTCCAAAGATGCTCAGGGTCAAGAGGTGACAGTCGAGATTGAAATAGCTGAAGAGAGATTCTCTGCTAGTGGATTGACGATCATTGCTCGCAATTATCTGGAAGTGTACCCTTATGACAAGTGGTACAATAAGGTGAATACTGCTCAAAACATAACATAACATTGTATAGCTAAACATATTGAGTTCAGTTTTCAGTTAAAGGGGTCATATGATGTTGCTAAAAAGAACATTATTTTGTGTATTTGGTGTAATGAAATGTGTTTATGCGG